CATGACTGGCATTTGGCCATCTGACTTAGTCATAACTGGATGAAACAGACCAGCAGAGGAGTCAAGAGTGCTTGCTTCGTGGGAGCAGTTTGTTCCTAAGGGATGGGGGTGTGGCGATGAGATGGGCATGTCTCCTTTATTAGTTACAGAGGGAGCAGTGTGCCCACCAGGCAGCTACTTGGACTCCTCCAGGAGGAGGTAGCCTTTCTCTACCTTGCCTATCTGCTTTTTACAGTTAATCCATTTCAGCTAGACAGCTGCTTCCTTCCGCAGAACTCAGCCCTCTTACACATCTTTCTCTGGCTCTCATCCTTCCTTTCATCCTGTTGTAGAATTTCTGTTGTGCTTTTTGTTAAGTGAGTATTGTTTGCTCACATTTTATAGTAATGTACTACGTTTTTCTCTGTAGTATTTTGCTTTGATTGGAATTAGTGTCTTTCTACTTTCTTTAGTTTTTAATTCAGTGGAAAGATTTCCCTTGTTGCATTAGTGCATCTCTGTGTGGCTACTGAAGGTAATTGCCTTCTTAAACTTAGGTAGGACACGCTGAAGACTCTGACCTGGGCTTCTTGTGTACAAGGTCTGTTGCAGGAATGCCATCTTAATATGTCTTCAGCATAGTCCATCAATCTCTTCATCTTAATGTTGGATTAAATTTCCTATTACCTAGTTTTATGTCTTCTTTCTTTGACATAGTCTTATGTTTTGCAGAGTACCTTTTAAAAATACCATCCTTATTAAAAATACGTGGAACATAATTTTTTGAGCACTCTAGTGTCTACAAACGAAACACTCACGAAACCCAAGCCTCTAATTCTACTTCCAGATCAATTCAAGTCTTTGAGTGCAGATTTCTACTCTAGAAGTCGTCTTTCAGGACTTGATGGCATTGCTGTGTGGCCTTACTTTTAGCATTGTTAAGAAGTTTGAGGCATTCTTAGTTCATTCCTTTGTGTGGATCAAATTTTATTGGAAGCCTGGAGGATCTTCTTCATAGCTAGAACTGTGAAATTGTATGTTGGTTTGCGTGGTGATAAGTCTGTTTTGATCATATGTTCTAGACATGTGGACGGACCCTTTCAGTTCAGATGTATAGATTTTAAAAAGTTCCTTCAGTTTTACAAGTGTGAACTTTCATGTAATCTTCGATTTATCAACAGTGTGCCTCTATTCTTAGTGCCAAATACCCAAAGCCCTGGCATTTACTCTAGTCAGAGAACAGTAGTCTTCTGCCATTGTGGACCAGGGGCAAGTTCTGTGTGGAAAGTAATGGAGAGATTTTCTGAGGGTTAAAGTGGTACTTGGCTGACTTTGAATAGTCCTAGTTTTATCTTCTGTCAGACACATGCAAGTCAATTTAGGCTTCTAAATACTATACTTATCCTAAGTATGAGTTCTAAAGTATTCCTGCATCTTTTGATGAATTAAGTAGGATTTAATGGCTGGTATTGATGACCACGATTAATAATAATGGATGTTATATTTCCAGTGTTTTGCAGTAACAGTAATGTCTCAAATTATGTTCAAATTATATTATGCACAAAACCATGTGTCTTGCTTATAATATGAAGGGGAGACTAAAGCTTAGGCAGATGCTGGTATGAAAATGAATTCATGTTCTTGTTTTCTATTCTTCTGGTAACCTTCGATTATATGCATTGATAGAGTTTTGAAATGTGGTGTTAACTATGACATAGAATTATATAAAGCAACAATCATGGCTTCTTGAGATTGTCCATTTTTTTTTTAAAGCCTCTTTTGGGGCTGGAGAGATGGCTCAGAGGTTAAGAGCCTTGGCTGTTCTTCCACAGGTCCTGAGTTCAATTCCCAGCAACCACATGGTGGATCACAACCACCTTGAGTGAGATCTGGTGCCCTCTGCTGGAGTGCAGCCAGAAGACTGTGTACATAATAAATAAAATCTTAAAAAAGAAGAGGCTCCTCCAATTAAAGCTAGGCAACGCTCTTAAAAAAAAAAAAAAGAAAAAAAACAAACAATGACACACACACACACACACACACACACACACACACACACACACACACACACAGCCTCTTTTGGCTAAGGATGTGGTTGAGTGGTGGGTGGGGGGCTTGTGTAGCACAAATGCTGGGGGCAGGGCTGAGTGGTGGGTGGAGCACAGCCCCTGGGTTAAATCTTCTGCACTGAAAGAGAAAGTCTTAAAGACAGCTTTGCACATACAACTTTGATCAGCGTTTTGATTCCTTCAAAAACACTCAAGTGAGGACAAGGGCTGAAATTACATATCTCCATACACTCAGAAGAGCATTTGACAGTCTAGCTTGCCTTCATGATTAAAGTCCTAGAGACATTAGGAATAGTAGGAATATACCGTAAGACAATAAAGGCTGTATCCAGCAAATAGCTAACACTATGCTAAATGGTGAAAAACTGTTTTCTCTAAGATCTTTAATAAGAAGTATTTTCACTCTTGCCGCTCTTCTGGATGGTAACTGATGTGATAACAAGACCTGTAACTCATGAACACAAGAAGAATAAAAATAGTGAAAGAAGTCAAATTACCTTTATCCGAAGATAGCATGATTCTCTATTTAAAGGACCCTAAAGACTCTACCAGGAAACTTAGACCTAGTAAACATTTTCAGTAAAGTTGCAGAATACAAAATCTATGTACAAAAGTTAGTGACTTTCTTATAGACTGATAACAAACACTTCAAGAAAGAAATTTAGGAAGATATTCTTTATAAGTATCCAGGAATAAAAGTAACAAGGATTGAAGGACTTGTACAATGAAAACTTGAAGACACTGAAGAAGAAACCAAAGGAGATACCAGACAATGGCAAGATCTTCCATGCTTCTGGATCGGCAATATCAGTATTATGAAGATGGCTGTATTATCAAAATTAATATACATATTTAATACATAACCATCAAAATTCTAATGACATTCTTTATCAAACTAGAAAACACAATCTCAAAGTTTTTATCAAACATATAAAACCAATAATAGCCAAACAGTTCCTAAGGAGAAAGAATACAGCTGGAAGTATTCTAGTACTGGACCTCAGAATTCTACCACCCACCTATAGTGTCAAGACCACAAAATACTTTCAGAAAAATGAGGAATGTAAGCCAGTAGGACAGAACAGAGGACCCTGAATAACCACACAATTCTGACCATGTAATGTTTGACGAAAGTGTCAGACACACACAGCAGATAAAAAACCCAAACTATTCAACAGATGAATGAAATCAAGGTCCACATCTTTCGCACTGTAAAATCAATCCAAAGAACTTAATGTGAAACCTGAAACTTTCAGAGTGAAAAAGGGTATACCCTTAAAGGTAGGAACCTACCTCTACTGAACAGGAAATAACCCCCCAAATAACAAATGAGACTGCACAAGATTAGAAGTATCAGCAGAATGTACAGACATCTTACAAAAGAGGATAAAACCTTTGCCAGCTGTGCTTGAGACAAGAGCCAGTATCCAGAATTCATGAAGGACTGCAGAAATTACATATTCCCTCTATAATGACAGGAAAGGAGCTAATGAAACAGACAACTCTCAGAAGAAACACACATGGCTAATAAATATTTACAGAAGTGTTTATCTGTCCCTAGCCATCAGGCAAATGCAAATTAAAATAACTTACAGTCAAAAGGGAGGACAATCAGGGTTTGGATGTGGGGAAAGAGGAGCCTTGATCATAGCTCAGGGTAGTATAAACTAGTGTAGCTTTTATGACGTCAGTATGGAGGGTTCCACCATAGGACCTGGCCATACCACTTCTGAGCATAAATGCATAGGACTGTGCATCCTAGCGTAGGGACACTTGTGCATTCGTGTTCGCTGCTGCTTCGTTCTTTAGACAAGGACAGGAAACCAGCTTAGATGCCCTCTAGGTGAATGGACAATAAAAATAGGATGCACACTGGAAATTTGCATAGCTTTAGAGAAAAAGGAAATTGTGGAATTTGTCTGAACAATACATGGACCTGTAGATTTGTTTTTCAAAGCAAATTGACCCAGACATAGAGACTGCATGTTGTTTCATATATGAATTTCATCTTTTAATAGACAGACAGACAGACAGGCTGGGGAGAGGAGTATGGGAGGAATTAGGAGATTAAGAGAGAGGCTAGTTTTTCTGAGGAAGGAGAAGACAAGGGAACCCATGTTACATGAAAGCAGAGAGGAGACGGAAGATGGAGGGGTCAGGGTGGAGGGTGGGAAAGAGGTGAGAGGAAGGAGAAGCAACCAAAACAGATTTCGCTTGAGGATACCCTAATGAAACCATACTCTGTGCTAATTTAAAGAGTAAGTAGTAAGGGGTTGGAGAGATGGCTCAGTGGTTAAGAGCACTCCACTGGCTGCTCTTCCTGAGGTCCTGAGTTCAAGTCCCAGAAACCACTGTAATGAGATTTGGTGCCCTCTTCCGGCCTGCAGGTTACATGCAAGCAGACCACTGTACACATAATACATAAATCTTAAAAAAACAACAAAAAAAAAGAGTCAGTAATAAAAAGCATGGTTAGTCAGAGGGATAAACCTCTATGCAGTCATTATCGTGGAATGTGTTTCAGTCTCTTTTTGTACATGTTAATGTTCATTTAAACACACATTATGCTGTAAAAGTGTACATAGTTTCCTATTTTTACTTTTCAGATATCCAGTTTTTAATGGGCATATACTACTAATTTTTATGACTATGCTGCAATTTATATGCTTAAGTTTTTCTCCCATCTGCACACACTGCTAAGAGTTAAGAGAAATACAAGTGTGAACTTAACACTGTTAAGTCTGTGTACTTTGGGTGCTCAGTGATGTAGTTGAAACAGGGTGTGTTAGAAGGTAGATGGTTTATAAAATACTGTTGTAAGTTATTAGTCACCTTTATTAGCTTATGTTATTTTTAAAGGAACTCATCAGTCATTCTTTAACTTTGGAATGGTTCGTTTCTACGCTGCCCTTGTCATCGTCTGAGCATTGACCCAAATGTCTTTGTTTGCAGCTGGGCTCAAAATGCAGAGAACTCAAAGACATTCACTTTGGCCAGTGCTACAAGATCTCAGACGAAGGCATGATTGTTATAGCTAAGGGCTGCCTGAAGTTACAAAGAATATACATGCAGGAAAACAAATTGGTAAGTACTTGTTCTCGTTTGTATCGGAAATATAACAGGATACTGAATACCAATGATATTGGTATTTTATTGTGGAAGATTACTTACACCGAAAACTCAGGTTAGTCTCAGCTGCCAGACCCTACCGGAACCCCAGAGAGGCTGAGCGCCTCCTTTCCAGTTCTTTTATCCCACCCCTTCTTCGTACCTATGACCGCGCCCAAAGGGGCATGGTCAGCACTACAGGTAGGTGGGAATTCTCCCTACTCTCATTAAGCTCACCTTGTTACCCTTTGGAATTCCTTGTATTTTGTTTACAAATTGTCTTCTGGTTATGAGTGGCAAATGCTACTCACTGAACAGCAGAAGTTGCCTCCAAACCGTTTTATAGCGTGGTCATCTACGTGAGGATGCCCATGTGTGGTGCTGGGTTGTTAAGTAGTGCTCTATTGTGTCTGTAAAGAATTCCGACAGTGAACTAACACAGGTAAACTGGAATAGATGAAACTTGTTAGCAAAACCTGTTCGTTGTTGGAGTTTCTGCGGTCCCTCTAGGAATTATAGTAATTCTAGATTAAGAATATTTTAATGCTCAGAAATGTATACTCTTATAAAAACTTTTTACTTACAATGGTGAAAAGATAGGATCTAGTAAATTTGGCCAAATCATCTTGATAAATGCATAAGTTTTATATTTTAAGCACATGCATGTGTCTCACTGCGTATTAATGCATTATTTAACTTTCTTATTGAAATGTAATCACATAAGATTCATTGTTTTCTATTATATCCAAAAAGCTGTGCATTCAACACCAATATCTAATTATATAACATCTTCTTGATCAGTTCAAACTCTGCTCGTTAGCTGTAGCTCCCCATTTTCCCTTTGTCTAGCATCTGGTAACTGCTAATTTATTTCCTGTTTTTATGAACTAGCCTATTTTGTATGTTTTGTAGAAATGGTATCACATAGTACACGATCTTTTGTATCTTTTTAAAGGTTCATTCATGCTGTGGCTTGTATCCGAATTTCAACCCTATTTATGGCTGAATGACACTCAAAACCATTTAATTTTACCTGCTAGGGTTATCATACCAATTAACAGAAAATGTTACCACTGAGGAGGAGCTCATGGGAATTTCCAGTGTTGAAAATAATGTATTTATAAAAAAGACTTGCTTTTAAATTGGGCATCTCAAAATGTAGACATTTTTGTTGCCCTTTTCAGTTTTTAAAATTCTAAAATTTTTAAAAATTTTGAGATTATAATATAATTAACATTTCTCCCTTCCCTTTCCTCCATCCAAACCCTCCTATGTACTCTTCCCCACTCTCCTTCAGATTCATGGTGTCTTTTCTCTAATTGTTACTGCATACAGATATATTCCTAGATTCCTAGATATAGCGTGTTCAGTTTGTATAGTTATTTGTAGGCATGTTTTCAGGGCTGACCTCACCTCCCTCTTCCCAGCTTTCCTCCTTTGTCTGGAGTTCTTTTTGTAGGGTTGAAGTTTTTGGGTTTTTCCCAATCCATTTGGCATGTCTCTTATTTGGGTGGTCACATTGGTGAGACTTTCTGGGTGTAGCTTCTGACGTTACTAGGAGACAGTCTCACAGCAAAGTCCCTGATCTTCTGGCTCTTAAAATCTTCCTGCCTCCTAGTCTGCAGTGTTCTCTGAACATTAGGCAAGGGAGTGTTTTGTAGATGTATCTACTGGGGCTGGAGTTCACAATTGCTTTTTGATTGCTGTGGTTTTCTGTAGTGGTCTCTGTTTATTGCAAAGAGAAGTTTCTTGAAGAGGGGTGAAGACCACTTATCTGTGGATATAAGAACAAATGTTTATAGATAATTAGGGATTTTGATGGTTTAGTAAATTAGTGGTTGTAGACTCTCCTTCAGTAAGCATGACTTCACTTGTACTAAGTAGTTAGGTTTCCAGTGCCAGATATGGATGGTCTTCCTTGAGCTGATGAGGTGTTAAAGCCAGTAAGAGACCTGGGGTTACCACCCAGGTACGTGTGCCAGTGCTGTGCCCTGTTCCTAGGTGTCACAAGTGGGGAGAACTGCTGCTTGCCTCCTTCCTCTGGAAGCTTTCTTGCGCCATGAATGCCAGTCCTCAAGGAGGACCCATTCATTTTTAAAAGTAATAAAATGCCTGACATGTACAAGCTCCAGTTGTGGAAGGGGTTTTGAAGCATCACCTCTCCTATTGAGTTGACACTATTTAAAACTATTTAAAAATCGAAGCACTATGAACTAAATTAAGTGCTTTTATTACCTAGAAATATACTTTTACCTTGACACAATACACAATAAAAGTTCCTCACAGTTCTTTTTGAAGTTAATATAATCAGTGAGGGTGTATGAGCTCATAGAAAGTTAGGTTTTCTGGGTTAGATAGACTGATACTTTGTTTCTCATTTGTGTTGTGACACAGGGAAGATAATTGAAGGTCATTAACCCTCATTTGCTAATGGTGTTATATTGATATTTGTCTTTCAGGTTATAGTTGAAGATTAAATAGCATAATAAATGCTCTCAAGTTTCTTAGTGCAATTTCTGACCGATAAGATACACTAGATACATATTTTATCATAACTGTATTTACTAAGCTTTTGTTTTCATGGCACACAGCATAAACTAAAGGTTATTAACCCTATTGTAAACATTTTCTAGTGTTTAGTAGAGATATTTGTTGATTTGACTAACACTTGTTTTCTTGTTAGGTAAGCACAGAGCAATACTTCTGTTGTCACCCTAGGATTTAGCCAGTGGCCTTTGAAAGGAAGTGCTATTCATGGTGGGAGGTTATTTTTATTTTATTACTATTTTTCCATGTTGTATTATGTTGAAAATGTGCCATATACTTAAATCCAAAGTCAATAAGATCTAGATTTGGTTTTTATTTCATGGGGAATATAAAGTGTTGTGATAAACTTTGAAGAGAAGGCAACATAATTTTCATTAAGGTTCTTAGAAGGCAATGCAGAACACACTGAGATCTCTTGGACGATTGAACCACAGCCAACTAACTTCCTCCAGGATTTAGACATATTTATGTAATAAAGTGAAATATGTAAGTAGTCAACTGTCTTTGTTTTGACAAGTATTATTGGTCTTTGCCCATCATATTAACTACTAATAGAGGTACTTAAGAAAGCACACTTGTCAGAAAGGATGCTGGAGAGTTTGACTTTTACTGCGATGAGAATTCAGATGTAGTCTGTTACTGTGCCCTCAGTCAATCACATCTTCTCCAAAAGACCATTAGAGCTCCTGCCTAGCCGGGAATCACTGCCGGTGATGTGTAGCCTTGGCCTTTAGGTGGCAGCATTGTCTCGGTCTATGTTTCCCCGACAGCGTTTCCATCCTTGATGCCGCTATAGAGATAGATGAACTGCTAACAGCCTCTGCTGATGGGAGGCTTCCTTTAAAATTTTTGTCTTTCAGGTGGTCTTAATGGGGCTGTTATTTTTTGTGTCACATGACACTAATTGCATGAAGAATGCTACAGGTTGAAATTGCCTTTGTATGTGACCCAGAAAGAAATGTGAATATTGTTATATTCAGGGAGGGTGGGGTGTGGGAAGAAGGAAGGAAGGGGTACAGACTACAAAAGAGCAGTAATCTGTGCCCACCACACAGACACAGTCAGAAGAGCAGTAATCTGTGCCCACCACACAGACACAGTCAATATTCTGTTAATTTTAGCTGCTATTTGAAGAGATAAAGCAAGTTGACTTAAATATCTGTTGTTTTACATTTCGGTCCTCTCATTTTCTCTTTCCAAAGGGAGCTTAATAATAACCTTTAAAAAGTATTTAAACATCCACGTGAATAACATGGTGTTTAATTGTCTTCACATGTAATTTATATCTCTTGTCGTATGGTTTAGTATCTGGTCTCACAATATATGTCCAGCCTATACTTGGAATTTAGTTTAATTGTTGAGGTCTAGCCACAAAGACTGTGTAACTCATTCTTTTTTTTTTTCCCGAGAAGGGTTTCTCTGTGTAGCTTTGGAGCCTATCCTGGCACTCGCTCTGAAGATCAGGCTGGCCTCAAACTCACAGAGATCCGCCTGCCTCTGCCTCCCGAGTGCTGGGATTAAAGGTGTGCGCCACCAACGCCCAACGTAATTCATTCTTTTTAAGGGCTATTTGTCACACATCCCCTGCTTTCCATTCCTAGTTGAAGGCACTTAATTTGTGAGTGGCATTTTGTTGTCAGAGGCAATATTGCAGTACAATTCGTGTGTAAGCCTACTGTGTGTGTATGAAAGGGTTTCCGTAGGTATAGTCCATGGGCACTAGGGCAAGTTCAGTTTCAATTTATTCTTACTGAATGCTAGGTCGCTCATTCGCTGAAGTGGGTTAGATGCGCTTCCCAATAATAGCTTGTCATTTCTTTTGAGGGCAGGGAGTATCTAGTCACCTTTTTGTCCTTCCCTTTCCAAGTGTAGACATGAAACAGATATTCAGTAAATACTGGTTTAATGATTTATGGGTTATTTCTTAATTGAACATGCTATTAAAATGTATTTCTTTAAATGCTTTGGGAGTGTACTTTTAAAAAGAAGATACAGTTTAACAGGTGAATAATAGCTTTATAGTTTAGAGATGCAGATCCAACAGTTTTTGGATTTTTTGAAACTACAAATAAGTAAATTTCTATTAATTTAGTTACCATACCAGTGATGTAATTTTTGTGTGCTATTTTGCCAAGCCAAGTTGGTCAGTGAGGTTGGAGAGTATTTGGAGGGGCAACATTTGTAGTTCTAACTACAAATATATATATATATATATATATATATATATGTATATATATATATATATATTAATTAATTAAAGACAGGGTATCTCTGTGTAGCAGCCCTGGCCGTCCTGGAATTCACTCTGTAGACCAGGCTGGCCTCGAACTCATGGAGATCCTCCTACTTCTGCCTCCCATGTGCTGGGATTAAAGGCATGTGACAACATTGGCTGGGCAAATATAGAATTCTTGTCAGAATTATGCTGG